TTGTGAAGAGTTATCGTGTAAACGGATGGTCGGACACACTGACCGATTCTAGAGTGTACTCACTTTTTGAGTACACAAAAAGGTTCAAACTAAATTTTATCAAAAAAAAACAAAAAAAACTTTTTTTTCTATATAGAGTGTCTATCAAGCGTATGTTAAATCTTTAATGGATACAAATGAAACAGAAAAAGCTGTTAAATTATTTCCGACTGTTTATACAACATCACAAGAATGGGCTGAACAAATTCTTACATTTATTCAACGAAATGAACTTGATGTAAATAAAATAAATAATAAATAATAAATATTATTAATTATTATTTAGATTATAACACCTTATATTCCAATAAGTACACTTAAACTTGATTCAACTATTTATGAAAAAGTACTTAATACATATTTAACACAAAAGAAATATGAAGTAAATCAATATAAAAAAAAACATTTTAACAGATATATATATATTGAATTAAATTTAATATAGAAATTAAAAGATTTATTAATAAAATGGCCATCAGATATTTATAATTTAACTACAATTGATCAATTAATTCGTTTACAAATGGATGATGAACGTACAGCAAAAGCATTACTTGAATGTTCAGCAATTATGTAAAAAATTCTTTTGATTTTTTTTATTAAGATTTTTAATTATTTTATTTTATAGAGCAGAAAAACAAGGAAATGTATCAAAAACATTAGATATTTATTTAAAGTATATTAATTATGATTATATTTATTTTATAAATGATTTAATTATTTATTTATTTTAGAATGGATAATATTCAAATATTTCAATTGATTGAACGAAAAAATCTTCATGAAGAAATTCTTCCACATATTGAAAAACTTATGTCAATCAATAAAAATGTTTGTTTAATAAACTTAAATTTATATTTTCTGTCTACACATACTGACAAAGAGATTTTTTGTTTTCAAGTTAAAAATCACTTTTGCGTTAGAATTCGATGAATAAGATAGACTTCCATGAGGTCTTCAAAAAATGATAAAGGCTATCAGGTATTTTCTATAAAGTTATAGCCGTTTGAATGATATTTTAATTCAAAAGAACGTTACTTTAATGAGGTAACCTATGGCGCGAAAGTCTTGGTACAAAATGTTTGCTTAATTTTCTATCCCTTAGCCTTGATTAAAGATGATGGAAATCAGTCTGTTAGAATCAGAATTTCACGCTCTTTCTAAATATATATTCAGAATTATTTTCTAACTTGAGACAAATTAATTGAATAGGCCAACAAAAGGTGTCTGCACACAGTTTTTCATTCCACTAGACTTTCGCATTTTGATTAAAACTATCTCAATTCAAATGATAAAAAATTGTTTTATATATCAGTTTGTAGTGCGAAGCATGCTCTACAAAATGTTTAGTTTACTCCTTTTTTTTTTAATATGATAACAATAGCTCCAAAATTTGTTATATTCTAGAAAACAACATTCAAAAAAAAAAAACGGTTTTTTTGACAATATATCGTATTACGCAGAGAATAGTAATATGTACATAGTCTTTGGTTTTTTGGAGCTTCAGTTTATTGGAATCCATGGCTTTGTAGAAAACTAAATACTCTACAATAATACAGATTTGAAAGTTCTCTCTAATCAAGGCTAAAGGGTAGAAAATTAAGGAAAAATTTTGTACCAAAACTATTAGATTTTCAAAAATCATTTATATTTCATGAAATCTTTCATAATTCCATGTGATTCTTTTGAAGTTCAATATCTTGTAAAGGAAATATTTTTGTTGAACGAAAATTTTCAGTAAAACAGCTATAACTTTTTATGAAGAGGTCTGAGAATTCCTTATCCTATTTGTATTTTTAATAATTCATTGAAATTTACTTTATACATAGCTAAATAAGAAATGGATAAGTCGCTTTTGAATTAAGACTATGTGTATTATATAGATTCAAATGAGCTATGTATACTTTGAAAAGAGTCCGTTCGATTAACTTCTTGTTGTCAATTTATCGTACTTTTACGGTTTTTTGTTTTCAAATGAATGTCATAACACTAGAAAAACTAACTTTCAAATTTCGATTTCAAACTAGTCTCATTAAGGCTTGACTCTATGCAAAGTTTCAAGTCGAAATTTGAAAATTAGTTTTTCTGATATTTCTACATTCATTTAAATAATGCTACAAAAGAGAAATATCTCCGTAGCAATAAGCTAAGAACATAAATTTCTATTCAGGATGCTTATTTGAGCTTAGATAATGTCTATTGTTTCAATTCAGAACGTCTCTTGTAAGTCACTGAGATCGAATATTTTAATTTTAAATACTTTTATATAATTTTATTCATATTTGATTTTCTTAGGTGACACTTGATATGTTAATTAATCATATGGATAAATTACCTGTAAATAATTTAAAAATTATCAATTGATGATTTTCTTTTTGTTTTTTTTATAAATAAATAGGTTCGATCAGTTTATAATGTACTACAAAAAAATCCTCGATATCTTCATGCTGTTCGTATAATTTAATTAAATTTAAAAAAAAAAAAACGAAGTCAATCTTTTATTATTATTGTAATATTTATTCATAGTATCTTGATGCTGTATTTTCAAAAAATCCAAATGATTCTCGTGATTATCATACACTTCAAGTATCACTTTATGCTGATTATGAACCAGATAAATTAATCGGATTTTTACGTAAAGCTGGAAATTATAATTTACAAGAAGCATTAGCTATATGTGATAAAAAACAATTACATCGTGAAACTGTTTTTCTTTATGGTATGAATTTCTTTTGTTTTTTTTTTATTTTATGTAGTTTCTTTTTTTTTGAATCAACTAAATCATAGGAAGAGCGGGTAATGGACGTGTTGCATTACAAATAATTCTTGAAAAATTAAATGATATTGAAGAAGCTATTAAATTTTGTCGTGAAACAGGTGATCAAGCATTATGGACAAAATTAATTGAACAATCTGTTGATAAACCAGGTGAAAATTTCATTAAATTCATATTTTCTTTTTTTTTTTTTAACAAAAAAATTTCTTTTTTTATTGATTATAGATTTTATTCGAGGTTTATTAAATCATGCTGGTAGTGATATTAATTTACAACAATTAATTGATACAGTTAGAAGTGATTTAAAAATACCTGGTTTACGTGATTCATTATGTAAAATAATGCAAGATTATAATATTCAGGTAATTTACATTCATTAATTGAATTCATAGAAAAATATGAGCGATAATTTTTTTTCGTTCAGATGGGCATTTTTCTCTCGCGATTGTGACCGTAAAACGCCCATTTTTTCAAGTGTTTACGGCTTTTTTTGGGCATTTAAACGCGGTTTTTCAAACTCTTGTCTGACCGGGAATCACGGTTCCCAGCTGTGAGCCAAAACCGCGTGTAAACGCTTCAGCAGAAGACAAAAAGTGATCGTGTTTTTTATAATCGTGAATCGTTGTTGGGATTATGATTGCAGTTCATGAATATAAAAAATATGGCCATTTTTTGCCTTCTATTGAAGCGTTTACACGCGTTTTTTTGGCTAAAAAAACGTGTAAATGCACAAAAAAGTGGACTTTTTTTGGTTCACAGTTGAAAACTACGATTGTGAGTCAAACGCGCCTATTTTTCCAAGATTTTATGTCTCTTTGTGTGCGTTTAAACGCGTTTTTGAAAAGTTTTGTCTACTTGGGCTTTTGAATGCAAACCAGAGATGTCCATCGCGGTTGAAAACTGACCGCTGCCGCGCAGCGACGATAAAAGAAAAAAGCTAACGCGCCGCTACCGCACCGCGGTGAAAAAAACAGAAAACCTACCGCGACGCCACCAAAAATAACCATGCCGCGACCGCGCCGCTGCCGCGATGATTGTTAGAATAATGTTGTGAATTTTACGATCTGTGACTGTTCAGGACTAGAGCTGTTGTTACCAATCGATAAGATTCGTTGAATCTCATAGTTTTGCACTTGCAAACATTGAAATTCTGTTCGAATTCATGCATTTTTGCATTGTTTTCCAAAAAAACCTACCGCTACCGCGCCGCTGCCGCGATAGTTAGTTAAAAAAGCGACCGCTGCCGGGCCGCACCGCGATGGTTATTTGAAAAAAACAACCGCTACCGCGCCGCGATGGACATCTCTGATCCAAACTTAACTAAACCGTGGGATGCTTTCGCAATTGTTCATAAATCTCAAGAAATACTTGTTTATATTTTCATTTTAAACAATATTTATTTTCATTAATTTCTTAGATGTCTCTATCAGAATGTTGTCGAAAAATAATTGTTCATGATTGTTTAGCATTACGAAAAAAGACAGTAACATTACTTCAAAGTGGTTATTTAGTCAAAGGTAATTTATTTCTTTATTTGCATATTTTATCTTTGATCTTTTTGTTTTTGTTCTTTAAATAAGATACTGATCTTTGTGCTAAATGTCATAATCCTGTATACAGTCCAGGTAAAAATTTTTATATTAAAATATAAATCTAATTTAATAAAAATTCTTTTAAGATATTCCTACCAATCCTCCTGTTTCTGTCTTCTTTTGTTTACATATTTTTCATGCAAAATGTATTGAATTGCAACCAGTAAGAATAATATTCTCTATTGTTATATATTGATAAATATTGTGTTTTGTTTTGTTTTTTTTTCTAAATATAGGATGTATGTGGAGTATGTTCAACAATTTCTCTATTTGGTTCAACTTAATTTATAAAAGAACAAAATTTTTATTATTATTAATTAACCGAGTGAATAAAATGATTATTTTTGTTCTTTCCGTCCTTATTTGTTCACTATGATTTTTTTTTTCTTGATGTGTGTAAGTAATTGAAAGCTAGATTGATTTGTAAAAGAAAAAGTAACAGTAAGATTCGATTAAGTGTATTTTATGCATCTATTCTTTCTTTATTCTAACTATTCGATACTATGGAGTGTATGTGCGTGTGAAATAATATTTTTTAAAGGAAACAACAAACATAATGACTGTATATGATAGTTGTTATGTTTATATTTCAGATGGTTTTACTTGGTTTTATTGATGAACCTAAAGGAGGAAAGACAGATAATGATGATGATCCATCGAATTGGACTATTTCAAGAATTGGTGGACAACCTGTAAGTAGTAATTGTAAATGATCTATTCTTTTCTAAACGATATATATATATATATATTAAATGTAGGCATATCCAAGTGAAGAAGTTTCAATAAAATTAAAAACTTCTCTTCTCTGTGGAACATGTCAAACAGAACAAATATTTGTTTGTCAACTTTATTGTCCATTAGAAGGTCATAAATATGATCGTGCTATTTATTTATTTGCATGTCGAAATCCATCTTGTTGGAATACATCAAATAGGTTTGTTAGTTATTTCCTGTTTTTGTGAACTCTATTTTTATATAAATAATTTTTTAGTTGGACTGTAATAAGATGTCAAAAATTTGATGAAACTGTTTCAGAATCAACTTCAATTAATATTGAATCATCAACTACTATTCCATCATCGTCTACTGATTGGTGTGATGATGCTGATGCATGGAATAGTGATGATGATAAAAAACCATCTTCTGTTATAACAACAATTAAAAAAGACATAATAAAAGAACCAGAAATAATGTTAAATTCAATGAAAATTGAAGATGAAGATGAAAAATTATCAAGTGATGATGATGATGATAATGATGATGAAATAGATGTTGAAACAAAAACAAAATTAAATAATAAAACTACATCTGTTGCATCATCTGATGCTTTTAATCAATGGAAAAAAACAAATTTAAATAAACCAATATTAGATATATCTAATAATAATATATCTTTTCCATTTTATTATATTATTATTGATGATGAACAAATTATTATTAATGAAGCTAAATTAAATGAAAAAAAGAAATTAAAAAATAAAATAAAACATTTAAATGACATCGATGAAGATGATGATGAAACAACAAAAAGTGGAAAAGAGTAAGAGTTTAGTTTTTCTTTTTCATGAATATTAACATACAAATAATATTTAGAAAATATGAAAAAACACCTGATATTGAACATGGTGATGTAGTTTTTTATCGATTTCAACAAAAAATTAGATATGCACCTGATCAAATTATTCGGTAAGAATTAAATTTTTAAGATTATAAGTATAGCTATGTGAGAATAAATAGATTAGGATGCTCCACATCCATCCTAAGCTAAAGATATAAAATCTTCATATTCAGTTGTTTTGTTTTTTTTTTTTTTAAATATAAGATAATTATATGTTTATTTGAAAGATATGATTGGTCTGGTAATCCGTTAATATTAACAAAATTTGATGGAAATATTTTATCAACAACTCAAAAATGTCGTTATTGTCAATCATCATGTGTTTTTGAATTTCAATTAATGCCAGCACTTGTTAATTTTCTTAAAATAGATAATCAAATAGGTTTGAAATTTTTTTTTTTGTTAAATTAAAATAATTTTAATATATTGACTTTTTTTTTTAGGTCTTGAATTTGGTACTGTTTTTGTTTATACATGTTCAGCTAATTGTTGGAATGATAATAATGATTTATATCGATTTGAAAATGTTTTTGTTCAAGCAGATCCTGATCAAAATTTATTTGATTAAATAAACAAAAAATAAGAAAAAAAAAAAAGAATATAACATCATTTGTTTTTGTTTTTCAGATAGTTAAATAATTATTTTTAAATGTGTTTATTTTTTATTATTCTTGTGTGTCCAACTAAAATTAAAATATCATTCATTTTGCATAACAACGGTAATTAATAGTAGTTGCATGATCAAACATTGTGAAAATAGAGTCGTATTGTCTTTTATTTTGCTTCGAACATTATTTTATCATTTATAGATATCGAAATAAGAGTAGTATCGTTGAAGTTTGACATCAGTAGATGTCAAAGATAGAGCAATGCGCTTTTTTTTGAGACCACCGTCGTTATGATTTTGCTAAACGAAATGAAAATTTTAGTGCAATTAGAACTTATATAAGTGTAGATGTAGTATAAGTTTCAGCTCTGTGTCATTTGCGTTGTCTATGCATAAGCTATGTAATTAAAGAGAAGACTAGAACTCATATTTCTAGAAAATTATTGACAATAATTCAAAAATATCTTAAGAGGACCCCCGCTAAAAACAATTTTTTTTTCTGAGCATCCGATCTTGATGAAATTTCCAGTGGACGTGTATCTTGGGCTAGGCACCTCACAGTAAAAATTTTAGCTCGATATATTGAGTCTAGGAAGAGCTGGCTTAAGGTTATGGGTTAAAATTTAGGTTTCCGTGCGTCCCAAATTTCTCCGCCATTTTAAATGCTAGAAAGTTCGGGTTGGTTTTAAAATGTAGCCAAGACATGGCGCTACAACTTAACAGGCCCAATTTTTCTTTTTTTTCCTAGCTTGTGTTTCTAGAAGACTTCTCTAGTAAAATACGAAAAACTCAGGGTGTGTAGGTTCGAAACGGTTAGTTTTCAATAAATATTAAGGGCAAAATCAAAAATCCTATTTTGAGAAAAAAACAAAAGTTTTTAGGAAAAACGCTATTTTCCTCTATGAGAGGCTCAGAAAAGCCTATGTAATATCCTTAAAACCAATAAACTATAGTGCATTCAAAAGTAGACACTTAGCTCTATCTAACAAGCTATGAATCACAAAATTGACTTTTTTTTAGGGGGCCTTAAGGAAAATGATCAATCGTTTACATATGAATGAATTCTTATTGATAATGAGAGAGTATTAATAAATTGGTATTAAAAGTTGAAGTTTTGTTGTTGTTTAGGATGTATAAAGTGCTCAAGATCAATGAGTTTTATGAAATTTGAAAAGAAAACTTTGGAAAGAATCAAAATACCAAAAAGCGAATTTTCTTTTTTGTTTTAATTGAAGAATAATAATGTTGTTATTTATGATTCAAGGCATCATTTAGAAATAGAATCTATTGTACAAGTAAATCTCGACTTGTTTTTTTTTGAATAATTAAAAGTAAAATTGTTTATTTTGAAGTATGATTATTTTGCTATTAAATCAATTCGTAATATACAATGTTGTTTTAAATTATTTTCATGTAAAAAGTACAAGAAAATTTTTTTTTACAAATGCATGTTGAACGATGGTAAGAAAAGAAAATATTATAAATTTAATTATTGAAAGTCTTTGATGTTGAACTTTTATATATTGTAGAACAATTAAAAATTCTAATTTGTAAAACTGATGTTAATTGGCACGAAATTTTAGGTTCAAAATTTACAATTTTATTTTAAAATGGTTGCTGATATACTAACAATATGGATTCGACATCTTTTAGACATTTGGATAATACAATATAAAAATGAATAAGAAACATTTATAAATATATATATATATATGTGATTTTTGTTATTCTTAATTATAATTTTTTCTTTTATTCGTTATTATTATTAAAATGAATAGATTGCTAGTTTAGAAAAAAAAAAATTATTCTTTGCAGATTATATATGAAAAAATCAAGATTTATTTAAATATAATATTCTTAAGGGATATACACATAGTATTGTCTGACAACTCATTGTTAATATTCAATTTCTGTGTTTTTTCATTATTATCTTTTGAATTCATTAACTAATTGAGAGAAGTAAAACGAAAGCAACATCGAACATATGAATAATAATTATCTACTCGCAAAAAAAGATCCAAAAATGATTGAAGGAACTCAATTCAGTAGTGTGGATAGAGACTACGTGAGAAAACTTATCTCATCAAAGATCAACGACAGTTAATTGACAATTATATATTGAAATATTCAATTGGGACTTCCAATCACTATGTCTTCTACGAGTTTAGTGGTAGAGGCAGTTGACGTGCATTGATAGACACATAGATCTCAATGCAACTTACGTATATGATCAAGTCTCTCTCTCATTCACCTGAATTCAATGTAACTAATTTTAGACATGCCACCCAATGTAACAACAAGCCACCGAACAGGATATTTCATATACTGTTAATTTCTGCAATGAAGAAGTAAGCAGCTAAAAAAATTACAATGCTCATAGTGTATGTCTCAAAGACTACTGTGAATGTGCTATATGTTCTATTATAAACCTCGTTATCGAAATAAAAGAATTACATTCATCTCAATAGGAACGAAACGTTTTTTTTCATGTATTAATTACTTCAATTTTTAAATACGATTCGATAAACAATGTCTTCCAACGAATAGCTATGGAACTATATTTGATAGACACTATAATGTTCCAAAATAGTTCACTATCAAAGTACTCTTTTTTTATACTAACGATTTGATGCCACTCTTTTGATTAAATATAGAGAGATTAGATAGGTTATTTTGTAGATCATGTAAAACTCTAGAACAAGTACACATAAAAATACAAGAAACTTGTATCTGTTTCTTTAGAAGCAGTGAAATAATTAGCCTCATGAAAATGTACATTGAAAAGCAAACCATTTCGGAATACTGTATGATTGATCAAGTTTTATAATTTCATCACCATTTTTCGAAAGATCACTTTTCCTAAGGTCTTTTAGAAAATTACAAGTACTGTCTGTTGAGAAAATATTCAAGTATATATGTGCAATTTGACAGAGATATTCAAAAAAATACCTAGAAGTTCATTTATTCTTGTGTATCCGTTAATATTTAATGTACTTGTCAGACAAACATATTTATCTTTATTTCAATATTAACTAAGAAAGAAAAAAAAGCAGTATCGTATAAAGTAAAATTTTCTTGTTCAATCATGATGTAAAATTAACTATACTTAAAAATCTAATAAAAAAACAAATAATTAGAAATATCTCATAATTAGTAATATTAAATAGTACAAAGGCAAAAAAAATCAAGATCACGTGATGTCTGTTGTTTTTTTTCAAGTGCGTAAATAAGAAGAAAAAAAGAAAGATAATATGTTCTTATATAACTTTTGCATATCAATGTCATAGATCGTTAATTGAACTTTAGTAAATAATCCTTTATCTTATAGCATTTTTCGATTAAATTCTTTGTTTTTTTAGTGCATAATTTGCTTCTTTTTTTTTTTTAATCTTTCTGTTCAATTCTTGTAAATAAAATATTTTACAGTATATCAAATCTATAGAGATTATTTATATGTATTGTTCATTTGACAAATATATATTCAATTAATTTCTAATTAAGAAAGAGTCTCCTGTGTAATTGTCCTTCGACATATTGAATTTGAAAAATAAAGATAAAGTTCTCATGCGAATATTTGATTGACAAGATCTAATCATGATTGAGTCACACAATACCATGGGTATTGTATATTTAGCGTGCTTTTAAAGTTGAGTTCATTAAAGCAAAAAAAAAAAAAAAGAAAACAAGTTCTCATATTGCAATGCATTCAATTCTTGAAGAAAGAGAACGCTAACAATAAACAAATACTTATATATATATATCTATAGTAAATTGATTTACTCGTTCATTCGTTTTTTTTTGTTCTATATTTACAAATAAACATTAAATTGATCATGGATGCTGATGAATTTCGACAACGAGGTAAAGAAATGATTGATTTTATAGCTGACTATTTAACAAATGTTCGAACACGACGTGTTTTTCCAAATGTTAAACCTGGTTATATGCGTCCTATGATTGGTGATGAAGCACCAAGACAAGGTGAATCATGGGATAAGATTTTTAATGATATTGAACGAGTTATTATGCCTGGTGTATGTATAATATAAAACTTTTCAAGTTATTCTTGACACTTTATTATTATTATTGTAGATTACACATTGGCAATCTCCATATATGCATGCCTATTTTCCAGCTTTGAACTCCTATCCATCTTTACTTGGAGTATGATACAAATCGTTTTTTTTTATATAATTGTTTTTTCAATTTGATATTTAGGATATGCTTGCAAATGGTTTAAATCAATTAGGATTTACATGGGTATGTATTAAAAAAAAAACAAATTTTACAATAAATATCACATGTTTGATGAAGATTTATTAATCGTATTGTGTATGTTATCTGAGAAAGATAAATATTTTGTATTATCAAACGGAGAATAACGAATGGTTGGAAAGTAATTAGTCAAGTTGTTTGATTACTTTTAACTAGTTAGAAAGTATGAACAGCTTCCAGTTAGGAAGAAAATTGTATGCTCTTTTAGAATATGGGCTTAGAAATGTTGTACCTATTTTTGAAAGATCGGAAAAATTAATGTTAAAAGTACATATTCGAAAAGGTTACAAAATTTTCATAGCATTTGATACTTTCGAATAAGTCAAAAGTGAACAAACATCTATTTTTGTATGTTATTTGTATATGAAATTACTCTGGATATCCTAAAAACTCAGTGATAGACACATTTATTCAAAGAAGTTATCAGTACAGAAGATGCATTTGCAATATGGCGCAAGAAAGGAGGGTATCGACTTTTCACTGTATATATCCTAGTTTAAAAATTTCTGAATTGAAAAAGCATTTTTGTAAACAACTTTTGAGGATAAAAAAATTTGACTTAATGCAGTGCGAATATACAAAATCAAAAAAAATGCTCTTATAACCGTATGAGAAGTTTAAAATCAATTGCAAACAATACACATCCTTCTTTATAATCTCCAGATGATTTTAAGACAAACTATAAA